GAAAAAGTCTCTATATGGACTTAAACAAGCCCCAGGCAACGGTATTTGAAATTTAATTCTTTTGTACAGACTTTAGGTTTTATGAAAAGAAATTATGATTCCTGTCTCTTTTATAAAGGTTCAGGTGGGCTTGAATCCATTTATCTTCTATTATATGTAGATGACATGTTACTTGCTTGTTATGATAGAACTAAAATTGACTCTATTAAAGCAAAGTTAAAATCTGAATTCGAAATGAAAGATTTAGGACAAGCTAGGAGAATTTTAGGAATGGAGATAGAGAGGGATAGAAATAATTACATATTAATGTTAAAACAAGGCTATTATGTGAAAAAGATCCTTGAGAGGTTATTTATGCTTGAATGTAAACCCGTGTCACTTCCTATTGCAAATCATTTTAAATTGTCCAGTGAGCAATCACCTAAAACTGATGATGAATTTAAAAGAATGGAAAATGTGCCATATGCTAATGCAGTAGGTTCCATAATGTATCTTATGGTCTGCACAAGACCTGATCTAGCCCATGGTATTAGTATTTTGAGTAGATTCATGGCAAACCTTGGTGAAACTCATTGGCTTGCAATGAAGTGGATATTGAAATACTTAAAAGGCTCTTGTGATTTAGGTTTAATGTTTAAAAGAAGTAATGAGGGGATAATATTAAAGGGGTACACAGACTCTGACTTTGCTGGTGACTTGGATAAAGAAGGTCTACTTCTGCTTACATCTTTACTTTGTGTGATGGTTGCATAAGCTGGAAGTCTCAGTTTCAAAAATTAGTTGCATTATCTTCGACTGAAGCTAAATATATTGCTGCCTGTGATGCAGTAAAAGAAAGTATTTGGCTAAAGGGACTGTTAAATGAAATTTGTTTTGAAAATGATTCTGTTGTTGTGTACACAGATAATCAAAGTACAATACACCTTAGTAAAAATTCAGTATATCATGATAGGATCAAACATGTAGATATAAAATTTCATTTTGTATGAAATCTTGTTGAAAAAGGTCAGATTAGGTAGGTCAAAATCCCTACTGAATTCAATCCTTCTGATCTGGGGACTAAGGTACTGCCTTTGAGTAAATTTAAGAGTTCTTGAAGATTTTGAATATCAGTTGAAGAAGTGATATTTTAAATCCAAGCATTATTAATTTCAAAATTAAATTGACTTAAATCTTCCTTTTTTTTTTT